TCTGTTCCCCTGCAGCCCCGGGGTCACGGCCTGACCTCCACATCCCCACCAGGAGCTGGCTGCTGGCTACCAAACTCAACGCCCAGCTGCAGGTGACGTGACAGGTAAGGCAGGTTACAGGGCGCCGTTAGACATTCCCCGAGGGAGAGTTATGACCCAGGCCGGCCTGCGTGGGGGAGTTGGTACAGAAGACTCCCGTGCGGCGGCTCAGGATGCCGGGGGGCCGCCCAGCCCCCCACTCCGCATGGTCCCAGCTTCCCGTCATTCACCCTCTCCACAATCATCCTGTTACCCCAGCAGCTGGGGGCAAGGGGAGTGCTAACCTTCCAAAGTTAGAAGGGGCATGGCTTCAAAGAAGGGGGCAAGGCGGCTGCCCGCTCCCCAGGCCTCTGTGGTGTTCAGACCCCCATGACTGGGCTCTCGACCACCCTGCCCTCAGCACCCTCCCCCACCACGCACCGAGCCCCAGCGCTAAGGTGCCTCCCTGCCCGCTGAGCCCCGCAGCCCTCGAGCCCAGGGAGGGCGGCTACGCGCCAACAGGCACCCCTGCGACCACGCGCTGCTGGCCGGCCAGCGAAGGGAGACCTACTGCCAGCTGATCGGCCACCCCTGGGGCCAGGACCCCTGCCCGCCTGTGGGGAGTCCCCCAGCACCTGGGGGCCCACCTAGAGCCCCAGGTGGTCTTGCAGGAAGCAGCACTTAGGCCAGGCCCCACAGTACAAAGCGTGGGGCGGGGCAGGGGCACTGAAGTCCAGAGGCGGGTCACACCACACCTGCCGGACACCTGGAAAGGGCCGATTCGAAGTGAGCTTGGTGCTCCACGCAGCATGAGGAGTCCCGGCCGTGGGGCCGTGCTGCCTCCAAGGCGAAACCCCCAGCCCTGGCTGCGGGCCCGACCTGCGTCTCGGGGGGCAGGCAGAGCCAGGGTCCCCCCATTTCTCCCCCACCCCTACCTGGGGCCCTCTCCAAAACGCTGCACAAGTGCAAAGGTGACGTCTGCCCCTCCCACGGGTGCCCGGACTCTACACCTTATTGATTTTCATGGCTCTTCCCTGTCATGGGATTTCAGGCGCTGAAATGAAGGCGGGGGGTGGGGGGGGTAGATTATATGCGAGGGGGGTGCTTGGGGGGCCCATCTCCCTGTCTGGACTTGGAAGCAGCATGAGTTAGGGATTGGGGGTGAACTCAATTCCTGGAGGCACACTGAGCGGGGGGTGGGGGTGGGGGAGGGAACCCCACAGGGTGGGCACCGCATGGGCACTGGAGCAGAGCCGGCCAGGGTCCCAGGCTCCCCGCCTCTGGCTCCAGCTCTGCACCCCGTAATGCCCAGACACTCTCCCTTGGGGCCAGCCCGTCCTGGGCACAGACCACAGATTTCCTCTTCTCAGCAGGCCCTGGCCCAACGGCCGTTTCCCCAGAGCGTGGCAGCGAGATGCCTGGGGGCACCAGGGGAGCTCACCTGCCCTCCCACTGAAACCAGGAACAGGAAATCCCTGCCCCCAGCCAGAGCCTGCCTGGGTCACATCCCCTCTCCGAGAAGGAAGGTGACAGAACCACTAAGTGATAGGCAGCGATGTGCTGTCCGGAAGCAAGAATTTAAAGCCAGTTAGCAGGGCTTCCCATCAGCCCCACTCCCAGCCAGCTCTGGCCGCACTGCCCCTGTTACCTCTGGAAGGAAGCCCTGACTGCATCCGGCTGGAGGAGCCGCCAGTCCCGGGGGGGCCACTGCTGCTGCCCCTGCAGAGGAGAGGCTGTGATCACACCCGTCTCACAGATGAGGCGAGCAGGGCTCACACGGGGCGTGCGCCCGCCCCAGGTCACCCACTCGAGTGGGGTGAGCAGGGAAGCAGGGGCAGGCGCCTCTGCTCATCCTGAGCTGCTCCAGCAACAGGGCCGAGCCCCAGTCACCCCGCCAGGAAGCTCCCGGGCCCACCCCACCCGCGGGAATTCCATCCCCTTGGGGGAGCATCTGCACCATCTCCCCAGCTCGGGCCGGGCCGCTGCTCTTCCTGCCATATCCCCACCTCACACCTCCGGGCCCGCCTGGCCAGGGGGCCCCAAAGCAGGCTGGGGTCAGGCGTGCTGAGTGCACACAGCCTGGGCCCCGGGGTCTGGGGCCGAGAGGTGGGACAGCAAGTGTGTGTGTTGGTGTGTGTGGGCGTGCATGGTGACCGGCTCCTTCTCAGACAGCATGCCAGCCTGCCTCTGATGCTGCCGCCCACGGGGGAAGGCTTTACTCTCTGAAATGAAACTTTAAAAAGTGCCCGGATCCAGGGACTGGCTCCTGCCCAGATCCTGGTGGCACAGTGGTTGAGAATCTGCCCGCCAATGCAGGGGACATGGGTTCGAGCCCTGGTCCGGGAAGATCCCACGTGCTATGGAGCAACTAAGCCTGTGCGCCACAACTACTGAGACCGCGAGCCACAACTACTGAAGCCCGCAAGCCTAGAGCCCGTGCTCCACGACAAGAAAAGCCACTGCAATGAGAAGCCCGCACACCGCAACCAGAGAAAGCCTGCGCATGGCAATGTAGACCCAACACAGCCAAAAAAAAAAAGCCCAGATCCAAATCCAGACACCCATCCTCAACCTCTTGACCCAGCTCCCACCCCCAGCGCCCCCTTACTGCACTGTGGCCAGGTGCACGGTGAGTGGGTGGGGCTGGGCACCAGGAGCCCTCCCTCACCCACTGGACCCTGCGGGGGCCTCCCAGGCACCCAGGTGTCTAAGCCCCTTCCCCAAGTCACTGCCTACACTGGCCAAGGAATGCGGTCTTCCCTACCAGCCACCATGCCCAACACCCATTTCCTGAACTAATCCGACAACAACCCCAGGGGAAGGACCCCTCGCTTCAGCAGGGAGGAAGCCCAGGACCAGAGCAGCAGGGTGGAGACTCCACCGAGGTCCAAACCCCTGGCACCATGCTCTTGGCCAAGCGATGCTGGGGGAGGGGATGCACAGAGAGGCCCCGCCCCCCCAGCCTGGCTCAGCGTGGCATCCCACCACAGGGGGCAGCCCAGCATGGGTGGGTGGGGCCTTGCTGCCACTGGAAGCAAATGCTCCTCTGGCCTGCCGGGCATGCCCAGGGAGGGAGGGAAGGGGAGAGGCCTCAGAAACAATTCCTTAAGCCCGAACACAAAGTGGCCCAGGGTGGGGGTGGGGATGTGTCAGGCCTCCACCCCTGCTGCCTGGGAAATTACCAGAGGTACCCAGGCTGAGCTGGGGGTGTGGTGGGCGGGAGCCTGCCCTGGAGACCTCTCAGGCTGTGCAGGTCGGAGGGACTCACCTCGCCCCTACACTCAATCCAAAGGCAAGAATCCACTCCTGCTAAGTCCCCTTCCTCCGCCCCCCTCCCCCTCCCACCAGGGCCCTCCCAGGCTCTGCGGGTACAGACAGGCTCAGGGGCTGGCAGAGGGGTGTCTCGGTGACACCACTTGCCAAGACCACCCCTTCAGCAAAGGCTGCCCGGCCCACCCTGGCCCATCCTGACGGCCTAACCGCTCCCACCCCCAGGGCAGAGGCTGCTGGCTACAGGACCCCCACCAGTGCCCCTGCAGGGAGGATGTGACACCTGCACTCCATGTCCAGTCCCTGCACTCCCCACCTCAAATACCTCAGTGCCCCGAGGTCCACCCTGGGACCCTTGGCCGTCCAGATGGCAAACAGATGTCCCCAGGCCCACACACTTTTCCAGGAGCCATTTTAAAAGTTTACCCTCCCAGTGTCAACTTAAGAAAGCACCCACCCGACGTTGTCCTGGTCCTCCGTGACAAGGGGTGAGTGGCCTGGGGTGGCGGAGAAGCAAGAAGGGGCCAGGAGGGGGCCCGAGTCACTCTGCCCCGGGGACCGCAGGGGACGCAGGACACAGCTGTGAGAGGGGCTCCCGACAACCACTCCTGGTCCCTCCGGGCCAGAAGGAGATCTCCACCCCCTAATTCCAACACTGACAGGAAATGGAAACAAAAGCCAAAGCTTCATCAGTCACAGGCCAGCAGTGAAGACTGATGAGGAAACACAACTCAGGCCTGCAGCCCACAGACCCCAGGAGACCCTCCCGCACCCTGAGACGTCCAACCCGTGGGCTCCTCTTTCCAAAGCGGCCTCCCAAGCCCAGACCTGGACACCCACCCAGCCCCGGCACCCCTGGGGCTCGGAAACCCCAGGTCTCCAGGCTCCCTGCCTGTGCCAACTCAGAACACCCGCCCAGCCCCTTGCCCCTCACAGCCTCCACGGCGCCCCAGGGGGAGGACGGGCTGGAAGGTCAGGCTGGGTGAGGAGGGGAGGAAGATGGGGCTCCACAAGCTGGGGGCACCAGGCGGGAGGCACCCCAGCACGCGGGCCACCCGGGGCCCAGGGCGCTTCCCCTCTGCGCTTCGCCCCGGCCCGAACCGCCATACGACCCTCAGGGTGGCGACAGCAGGCAGGAGGGTGAACTGGACTGGGCCCAGGATGGGGTGGACGGTCCCCAAGGCACTGGCAGAGTGTGCGTCGCTCCCCGCCCCCCGCCCTTGCCACCGCACTGGGCCGCCCATCTAGGGGCGGTGGCCCCGATGAGCTCATGGGGGCGGGGCGTCTGGAGCCCCGCCCTCGAGCCCCTCAGTCCCCGCGAAGCAGGGTGGTCCCAGAAACAGCGGCCAGGAGGGCTGAAGCAGTGGCCGGGTACTGGGTTCGGAGCGCGCACCCACCGCACCACCACCATCACCAACCGGGAACAGACCTCAGGTCTCCAAACGGCCCGGCCCGGCCGCGGGGCTCTGGGGTCCCGACGCGCAGAGGCCCGAAACCCGTCTTGGAGCCCCCCGCCCCGCCCTCGAGGGGCACGGCGGCCCCGGACGAGCCCCACCGCTGCGACCCACCGGCCTAGGACCCCCCACCACGCGCTCGGCGCACACAGGTGGCCCTACAACTTGGCGGCCCGGTTGCGCCCCCTTGGCAGGGCCTAGCGGGGCGCGGCCTGCCAGGCTCGGGGAGCGCCCTCCCACCCGCGGCTCCGGGCTCACCCAGAAGACGAAATTGAAGACGAAGAGCAGGTACTTGATGCACTTGGTGCAGCCCTCCACCCCCATGGCGACGCGGGCGGCGGGCGGCCTGCGGGGCGCGGGCCGGTCCTGGGCGGCGGGCGCGGGGCCTGGGCGCCTGATCGGCAGCCGGTGGCC